GTTTCTCCTGATTTCCCTGGGAAGCGGCCCCGCCGCCCCGTCCCGGAGCCCCCCGAGAGCTTCTCGTAGCGCTGAGCCGGGGGCTCAGGCGGCCGGGGGGGCAGCGGGGCCCGCGTCCCGCCAGCAACGAGCTGCTCTCCAGCCTGGGCTCCCTCCGGAACTTTCCGTCTCTTACCGGCTTCCCTCGGTCGCTTCTGTTCCTTTCTTTAATCCCGTTGACGTCGCTTTAAAGATCTGCGAGAACTTCTGGATCTGCTCGCCTCCCAAACCGGGAGAGATTCCATTAATCCGGGCTCCCTTTGCTCGTGTCCTGCTCTTCTTCACTGTGTTTACAAACAGCCAGCAAAGCAGTTCCGTGGCACTTCCACAGACGTTCTAGAAGCCAAATTGGTGTCTTTCTGTACGTGGCCGGGCTAGTTATGAGCTTCTCCCTGTTTAGCAGGTGTTCCAGGTGGGATTCGCTTCCCCTGGGCAGCCCTTTCCCGTGGGAAGGCATGGCTCTGCTGAAGGTGCACGGGCCCATCCGGATGCGCAGCATGCAGACCGGGATTACCAAGTGGAGAGAAGGGAGCTTTGAAATCGTGGAGAAGGACAGCAAAGTCAGCCTCGTGGTTCGCTACAACGCGGGAGGAATTCCAAAGACTTTTCAGGTGACACCAAACGTTGAGGCTTTTGTTGGATTGTGCTCCCCTGTGAACAGCTGTTCTCTTCGGGGGTGTAAAGCGTCAGGCAGACTTCCCTCTGTCACTTGTTTCTTGCTCCTCGTTGCCTCTACACTAATCCCTTTGTAGAACCCTCCTGTCAGTTATTCATGTGCCTTGTTAAGGGACCTGTGAGGGGAACTTGGAGATGCTGACTGGGAAGAGCCAAAAAGCAGAGAAAAGTTACCCAAGTTATGCAGCGTGGTGGGTCACATTCCGAGTTTGGGAACGTGTAACCTCTCTGTTCCTGGTGTATTTGCAGAATCTAGAGGTGAAGATGCTGAACACTTTGTACTGCCTGTTTTCCCAGGTGAAGAGTAACTGTGTTAGCACACGTGTAGCTTTTCACTTGTTTATATGAGGTTCTTCCCAACAGCGTTTGCTACAGTTTTAGGTTTTCAATCTGCCAGGCAATGTGATCTCGTTGCCTGGAGGCTGGTGCCCATTGTGGTTAAAGATTCTCTTGCCCTTCTTTAATTCTGTAGTTGTTTTCAGCTCAGTTTTTGTGCCAAATGCCCCACACTGGAAGAATGTGAAGGAGTGTATTTCTGTCTGATTTAAAAATATGTAGAGGATTTAAGAGCAGTTGGAAGGAAAAAATAACCCCTTCTTGTTTGGCAACTTTGTAACAGCCTAGACTGATCTAAATGTTGCTTTCTGCTTTCTTGTGCCATAGTTGTTTTTCACCAGTAGTGTCCCCCACACCGAACCAGTTAGTTCTGTGTATGGACTTGGTGAAATAAAGTTCACTTTATTTTTGAAAGATCAGGTTTTGCTGCCTTTCTGTGCTGAAAAGTCTCAGCAAGGAGCCTGTGTTGTCTTGGAATCAAGGCATGAGAAATCATTGGGTGTGGATCGTTCCTATCTCTGTTACCATAGTCTTCAGAAATCTCTTCTGCCTTCTCAGGTGTGATGCTCTGCTTGTTTTATTTAATAAGTTTAATATTCAAAGACTGCCTGTTTTATTTAATCCAGTGTAGGATCCTGTTGCTTCTGAGAAGAGTGATCTCTTCTTTCCCTCGTACCTTCCTGGATACTTGTTCTCACGCTCTCCTTTCTGCCTGGATGAGTGCTGACGTGGTGTGACAGTGGATGGAAAGGTGGTTCCATGGGTAGGATGAGCCTGTAGAGCAGCTAACTATGGCCTAAAGGGGCAGGTTTTGCTCCCAGCCTCTTGCTGGCTGTGGCACTCATCAGATCTCCTTGAGCTCAGTGGAGGGTTTTTCATGTGAATTAATTCAAGGAAAGGGCCAAATGCAAGATCTGATGGAGGGAGTGATAGGGCACCACACAGCTAGGACTGCAGCAAAGGCAGGGGAGGGTGAAATTCTGCATCTTTTGACCAGTTATTGTTTGGATGGTGGTTAATTTTCAGCTTTCTGGTTCTGTTGCTTTTGAAGCAGCACAAGAGCATTGGTGGAAGGGAGCAGCAGGCAGAGAGAGCTGCCTGCCCCTGCTGCTGCAGGCACAAGTGTCAGAGTGCAGTTTGCATGAGCTGGCCACACTGTCAGTGCTCTTGCATGCTGCTTCAGGCATGACAAATTCCTGATCATTTTGCTTTAGAAGTAGTATTCCCTTTTTTTGACAAGTTCCTCTAGGAGAACTTCCCAGATTTCCCCAACTTTTTTTACTTTTAATGGAACCTTTGGATTAATCCAGGGTTATATTCCTTTCTGTGGTGACTGCCGCATCAGTTTGTTTCTTATGTCAGATGATTTGTTTTACTAATGTTACACATCTTTGACCTAAGTTGTCCTAGGTGGTAGATATGTATTAAGAGAAATATTTCATTTATTGCCACCCCTCAAAACTTTGTGGTACTGAGTCATAACAGATGCATGGAGAGTATGGATGGAGCCCTCTCATGATTTTTGAGTTGCAAAAGGTTGTTTTGCATTGGGATGGTGAAGTAAATGTCATCCCTTTGCACTGGGTGCAATGTTTTGAGAGAGGCTGAAAAATTCAGAGCCCCTTTTTGAATTCTTAGGTCTTTGAAAACATTTTTAATTGACATTAAAGAAAAAACAAACCCAAACAACAAAACCCAACTAAATGAAAAACAACAATGAAAAAAACAACAAACACCTTCCAAAATGCAAAGATTAGGCACAAAGTATTTCAGATGTTTAATTTTGCTGGCAAAATAAACAGTTTTCCAGCCACTCTTATGAACTGCTGTTGTGTCTAGATTGGCTTTAAAAGAAGCTGGGGATCTGTATGGAAAAAAGGAAATTTCACTGATGGAAAGGGAGTGTCTTTAATATATCTGAACAAATTTTTAAAAACCCAACAAAAACCGAGTATGTTTTATTTTTAAACTTGTGTATAATTTGAGGGAGACAAGACAGGTTCTGGAGCAATCTGTAGTGAAACTTTGGTGTTAGAGTCTGATTAGTCTTTGTGTCTATTGATTTGTTGTTGTTGTTTAGATCTCTAGTGTGGCAGTTTGCAGGTCAGGCCAGATGAGGAGAAGACTCCTATCTGATGGGCAGTGTTTTATTTGGTCTCGTGCAGTGCCCGATGACCTTGGCTGTGGGTTCCAGTCTTGTGTGAAATACTGAGTACAACAGTAAGCTAGCACGTGGAGGTCACTGTGTAGCTGGTGCCCAATCTTAGGCAAGGCTAAAGAAGTGGCAGCAAAATGAGGAATTAAATAAAAAAAGGACAAGGGAATTGAAAATGAGAGTGTGCTTAGGTGTGTATTGTCAAACTTCCATCCAGTCTGCAGATGGGAGCTGGTCTTTGGCTTGCCCTGCTTTAGGAATTGCTCACAACCTGTGTGGGCAGTAGAGCCTTTACTGAACAGCCAGTTCTTACAGGTGACTGGGCATGAATTAACAATTAAGTAACAGTAAAATAAAGCAGCAGCACCATTATTAAGGAGCACAAATTCTTATTAAAATTATTCTTGTGTTGACCATCACCCCAAAAGTTTTGACATCATTTAATTGTTACCAAGTTGCATACAGACCAAGCATGCTTCTTACTGACTTATTTTCTCAGCAAGTTTTTTAAACTACATTGAATCTTGTCTTACCTGAGAGCAAATTTTCAAGTGAGTAGAAGTTTGTTCTTCACATTTAAAGCTTTCCCATCTTTAATTACATTTCAAACCTGATGGTGAAGTTGCAGACAGCTAAATAGGGCTGTATGATGCTCTTACGTCTCCTTAACGTTCAAAAATGTTACAACAGCAAAGCAAGTTTCAGAGAGCTTATCAGGAGTATAGGGACTGTTGTGCTGTAGTGATGGTAGCGTCCTTTCAGATTTGTCAGCTTCTGAGATCATGGATTGCATTAATTCTGAGAAGCCTAATGTCTGCTCAAAGTGGAGCAAGGGGAAGTATTTTGGTGTGGGTGCCTCTTCCCTTCTCTATTTGAAGTGTTGTGCTTGAATTCATAGGCGGCTTGGCCTTTAAAAAAATGGGCTTATGTTTAAAATCACTTTCTTCTTTTCAGCTAAGCCATAACATTAAAACTGTGACCTTACGACCAAATGGTAAGAAGGTGTGCTGCCTGATGCTGACCCTGAAGGATACCAGCTTCCTGACGATTGACAAGGTACCGCTGAAAGACGCAAATGAAATGCGGATGTATCTGGATGCCATCCGGCAGGACAGGGTTCATACTGGTAAGTGCAATTGTTTCAAGTCCTGTTAATAACAGCTTGGAGAGGGCTCTGTGCTGTGTTTTCTGCTTTTTATCTTCAGCCATTTTCTCCTCCTTTTGTTACTGACTTGCCTTGCATTTCCTTGCTCCTTTCTGGCCCCAAACCCCAGTTTTTATTGTGTACCTTTCTCATTATGTCATTGCTGAACAATAAGCAGAGATGAAACATGTAGGGGTTGTTTATGTTGTAACTAGGTTGGTATTTGAAAAACTCTGGCCTGCTACACATACATAGTGTCTGTCCTTTTTTTTTTTTTTTTTACCTCTCATTTTATTTTGTTCTTTTTACGGATAAGAACTTTACTGCCAACTGAGTAAATGACCAATACAAGGGATATCCATAAACAAATGCTTATGTCTGTGTACTTAGAATATTGTTACTGTCTGTTGGCAAGAAATCTATTGTGTCCCTTCCAAAATCAACTCCAGCTAAATAACAGCTTACAACTACGAATGCCAAGCAGTTAAATGCCAAATTTAAAATCAAATGTTGTGTACTTTTCCTGTCAGCTGGGAAACCTTCTCAGGGATCTGGCAGCTTTGGAGGTGTGCTGGGCAGCAGGACCACACCGAAGGAAGCTAATAGGCAATTCTCTTATATTGAGAACCAGGTTTGTTTAATTGTTCAATTTTTTCCTCTCCTTTAATTTTACTTCATTAATTTCCTCCTCTCATTCTCTTCTTACATGTTGTAATAGCACTGTAAATACTTATTTTGCATCCAAAGTCTTTGTAGTCTGGAGGGCTTGGAATAGCTGTATACAAGGTGCTTGGCAACGGTGTGTCTTGCTTGTGAGGAGCCATGTATCCTGCATGAATAGGAAAGGTCAGTGTCTGGCTGTGGAAGACAAAATAGGTTCTTCATGCTAAGCTATCAGGCAGGCAGACAAGCAGCAGAAATAGAGAGAAAGTGCCCAATTAGGATTTGCTTCTCACATAGTTCTCAGTATCTCTTTATTTCTACCAAGCACCTTCCATAGCAGCTAAGCGTGGTTATAGTCAGCATAGGTCTTAATAAGTTTAGCAGACTGCAGCCAAATATATATATATTGTAAAAACGTAGTTTTGTATCAAAAGTAATTAATTTCTGGCATTGTGCTTGGATTTTTCTGTAAATTTTGCAAACTTTCCCCAAAAGTGTTTTTCCTTCAAAATGTTTCTGTTCTCTCTTTTCTCCTTGCATAGCATCATTCATGGTGTATCTACCAGCTGTAATTCACTTTATCTCTGTGAATAGACTTGTATGATCACCCTGAAGGAGAATGGTTTTTTGACCTTGTCCCGCAACAAATTTTACATGTTGCTTAAAGGCTGTTTCTCAGTAAAAACTCTTAAGGCTCTGTATACCAGTGCTAAGTTTAAACATGTTTAGTTTTCAGATCTAAAATTGACCAGCACTCCTTAGTCAACCCTGAGCTCTTCCTGTTGCATTACATGTGGCTCTGGCTCAGCCTGAGGCTGTCAGGGAACCATTCTAATTGTATGGGTTTTTAATACAGCTTTTTTTTGGTGTTTTAATACCACCCAGGATTGATCTGGGGATAGTTAAGAATTACGCCTTAGGCTTTTTAGTTCATGTAAAGGAGATTTTAAAAACTAAAGTTCAAACGACTTAGTGTTGGGAAATGAGAAGGTTGCTCGTTACTGCAGTGGAGTTTCATGTTTATGACTTGCATTGATAGAGTCAGAATTTATCTATGCCTAATTAGTGGTAAACTCCCTTAATCTGTTACAAGTAGCATTTTTCTGCTTTTGAGTGCTACACTGTAGCAAGTAAAGCAGCGGTACAAAGGCCTAGTTAGCCACGTGCTTCTCGGTTGTCTCCCTGGCCCCCTCCACTTGTTTTTGCAGAATACTCCCAAAAGAGCTACTACCATGGAAAGTAAGGAGGAAACTCCGTTTCGCAAGGTGCTGCGAACCACAGCAAGGGCATCTGTTAAGAATTCCCCTGGCACTGGGACAGCAAGCAACAGGGTGAACATTTCAGCATCTCCTGCCTCATCAGTGCCTCACAGAACAGGCTTGTTGGAGAATCGGTAGGAGTGTCATCCTCTTATTATTATATTGTTAAAATCTAACTCTTCATAGAGCTGCAGGTGGAACTCTGTACACCTAGAAGTATGAAGGGAATGTGTTTCTTCCTCTGGGTTTGCTGTTACTTTCAACAGGATAGTAATACATGCTTTTCTAGCCTCTGGCTGGTACTGACTCTAGAGATTTATGAACAACTTAATAATGGGGCAGACCAAATTCTTTTCTGTATGGTATGTTACAAAAATGGAGATTTTGGAAGATAGGTGCTAAAGGTAAAGAAGCAAGTTCAGTTCAGTTGCAAGAGGATTATTTACTAGCCTTTCTGAAAGAATCACCACTTCAAAACTTCTCTGTCATCAGTGAAAAGAGGAAAAGAACACCTGGTTCAGAAATGAGTGAAGATTATCCCAAAGAGAATGATTCTTCAACGTAAGTAACTGTTGTTTCTAGTTTCCAGTTTTAAACTTGTTCATTTTTAAACATAAATTTTTCTGAAAAGAACACTAGGATGTTTTCTGTCTCAGCAACATGGTACAGGCCAGTCTCCAGTCACGTTCTGAGCACACTGTGTGCCTGAAATGGGGTTTGCAATCATGATTAAGGAGGGAAATGCAACCCCCTCTATCAGCTGATTTGCAGGAACTGGCACATGCAAATTTTGTCATCTTTCTCCTTTCAGTTTAGACAGGGTTGTCATATATACTATACGTGTACAGCAGTAGGTACCTCTATTGAACTTGCTTTGACCCTTTTCAAAACAAAATTCATGAAGGAAAATTGCCATTGGCAGAATAAGCTCTGTGTGTGACATCACATTTAATCATAAGTAAGAAAGCTTGCTTAAATTAGTTGAACTTATCTGCAAGTACAATTTAACTGTTCTACAGACAAATATTAAAGGTTATTTGAGAAAAATGCTTTGAAACAAGTTGTAAATATCAGCCAGGAATATCCTGTATCTTCTATAACTGCACTTACTTCCACTCTTGTTGATCTCTAGGAATAATAAAGCCTTGAGTGATCCAGCATGGAAATACCTAAATAGTAGCAGAGAGAAACAGTTGAATTTGAAGCAGGCAGAGGAAAATAGAACATCAGGTAAAAACCAAACAAACATGAAAACAAAGCCAAATGATACCTGTCTTTGACTGCATGATTTTACCCCGTTGATATTTGCTTAGAAAGTTACTGCAGAGGTGGTTTTCCTACTCTGCTTTCTCTGTGCCACTTTCTTGGTTCCTACAGAGCCATATATGAGATGGAAACAACCTGCCTTCATTTTCAAAGCTTGCCTGACTCTGGTGTGACCCTGACCTTTACACTTGGGTGCTGATGCCCACCCATGTGGCAGCTTGTTTGAAAATACAATAAGCAGCTTCAAACTCTGCTCCAAGCTGCACTTCCCATTGGGATGGCATTCC